CGCCCGCCCGCCCCTTCGCTTCCCTCCCCTCCCCCCGCAACCACACACACACACGCACACAAACAGAGAGCGAAGGTGGGGGGAGAGGGAAGAGACTCCCCCGGCGGCCTCCCTCCCTCCCTCGCACACAGCGACTGGAGAGACGGACGGAGCGCAACGCGCAGGGAGAGGAGACCACCGAGCACACAGGGCGAGCGCTCTCACACATTCAGGCGCGCACGCACACACATACGCACACGCACACACACTCTCGCAGAGCCTGCTCTTTCCTCTCTTCCCCCCCTTCCCTCCTCCTCCTCCTCCTTTCTCTGCAACAAGAAAAAAAAAGCCACTTACAGGTATTTGCTTAGTGGATCGGCGTCTTTATTTCTTTCCCACCAACCCCCCCCTCCATTCGCCGCCCTTTACAGTTTGTTTACAAGTATCAAAGTTGTAATTGAGGAGCTGCCAAAGACACATCAGGATATTTTTTTACCCCTTTCTTCTTTGTGTTAGGGAGTGATGTGCAACTAATTAAAGACAGACAGGCGGGTTAAGCGTCTGCAAATCCAAGCCCCCCCAAATACAGAGACTGGTAAGTGATCGTGTTTTTTTAAAACAAAATCTTTTTCCTTTCTCTTTTCTTTCTTTTCTCCCCCCCCCCTTCTCTTCCCTTCCCCCCTTCTTGGCTGTATTCTTTTTTTCGCCTCCTGGACCGCTGGGGTTGTTAAAGTAGATGAATGTGAAGGCTTGGGCAATAAAAGGCGCTACTGTATTAATTTATTAATTAATCTGCACCAGCCCCTCCTCCTGAATGTTAAATATGACCTTTGATCTCTCTGTCTCTAGCAGAGCAGACATGCAATACTGAACATGTAGAAGTCACATTCGCTGAAGCAGGAGAAAAAATCGGGGAGGCTTGGTTGCTCTTAATTATCTTTTTTATTTTATTTTTAAAGTGGGCTACAGCTTTTATCTTTTTTTAAAAAAACAGTAAATCAACAGCGATGCCTTGGACACCTTTTTCGTGCTCCAAAGATACATCGATTAAACAATAATGACCTGGTTGGTGGGCACCATAATTTTCTCGTTTCTGGTAGCAATAAACCTTGCAGGAGAATCAAAGGGGGGGAGGAAGAGGAGGAGGTGGAGGAGCGAGTCTGGAATGGTAGCAAAGAAAGCTTTTGTGGAGAAAAGCCACTTTAATGCTATGAAAATGGGGCACCAGTGCCTGTTCTATTTGCAGCCTGTATTCTCTCTCTCTTTCTTAAAAGAAGACTCAAATTAGTACCCCTTTCTATTGGACTGGATTGTACACACCAAATCAGTACAACTAGTGATATTAAGTAGTTGTTAATAGACATGAAGTTACAGTTTCTTTTTCTTTTTTCAAAAAAGAAAAGTCTGTTTTATACATAGAAATCTCCTGTGTTTAGATTTTTTTTAAAGCCAGTAGGGAGAAGACCTCGTTGCCACCAGATCTCTACAGGGAGGAATGGTTTCAATTTTTTTCCTGATGTGAAAATGCAGAGGTGGCTCTTGTCTGATTAGGGTCTTTCGATGATTGAAGGATGAATGTTGGTTCCCGCTCCAGCTGAGGTTCTGTTTTCCGGATTTGCTCCCTCATAATTTGGATTCGCTGATCTAAATCCCATCACTTTCTTTCTTTTTTTTGGGTGCATTTTATTGGTTGGAGAAAGTTTTTGCAGCTGGTAGATGGATTTGCAATGGTTCATTAGTCTAATTATGACTGCAATTAGTATAATTGATAACTATTTTTCAGTTTAAGGTATTGGGTATAAAGCTGTACCTGGGCCCCCTTTTAGTGCATAAGAAGAACCTAATCTTCTATTTGGATATTTAAAAAAAAAGATTGGAAGGAAGCAAAAACATTCCCAATAGAGATAAAACATTTTTGTGGAAAACACATTCTGGATTACAAAAAGGTAGAAGTGTATCTTGCTGCTAGGGTTTATGGTCTGTTTTTCCACCCCAAAGGCCAGAAGAGTGTGCTTCTGTGTTGAAAACTACCCCCCCCCCATACACACTCCCTGTTGTAAAGACGGCCTATCAGGTTTGGGATTTTTAAGTCCACAATTGCAAAAGCAATAAACCCAAAATACTATTCTGTTGTATTAATAGTGTAGAGAGCAGGAAACCTTGCAAATCTCCCCCCCCCAAAAAAAACCCCTCCCTCCAAAACCCAACAACAACAAAATACATCTAGGAGGTTCTCAGTCTGTATGTTTAAAGTTGTGTGTAATTGGCCTGGCTTTTAGAGTGAAAAGCTTGCCCAAGAGAGAGTAGTGAGTTATTCAGTCCCCAATGCAAATGCAGGATCTTATATCAAAACCTGTTCAAATGCCTTTGCTGTGTATGTGTTATCCTATGGGGACACTTTTTCTCCTGTGCTCTGTGGTTGGGGAAGGTCCAGAGCATGGGCTGGGTTCCCCCTACACCAGACCAGAGGGACCTGGCCTTGGGACTCTGTGCCACAGCCAGCTGTGCTGGGAGCCAAACTAATGACCCTCAGACACGGAAGGACGCACAGGGTGGCAGCTGCTAATTCTATAAAGAGCTGACGAGTCGGGGGTCTCTCTCTAGACAGCGTTCAGATTTAGGATAGCAGACCCTGTTGGGCTCATACTTTTAACGCCTGGTAAGACTCTCTCCCCACACCCCCTCCTGCACTCCATTCGTTAATTTCCTGGTGGGTTTTCTCCTTCCAGCTTCCTTTCTCCTTCTCAGCACTGGCTTGCCCCGGCAGCCCTTGTTCACACATTTCCTAATGTTCCGATGCCCTTTGGTTAGGGGATTGAGAGCCCCTTTCCACCCGTCATTTGCATGTGTTTAGCACTCCGCTTGCCCCCTTTCCCTTGGCATTTGTCAGCTCTCCCCTCCCTCCCCATTCCCAGCGATTAAAGCGTTTACTGGGGAGGGGGGAGGTTAAGGGAAGGGAGCGAGGGGGAGGGGGAGCGAGGGAGGGGGGAGGGGGAGGAGTGGGGGAGGGAGGGGAAGGCGGCTGCGGTGGTCGGATCATGTCTTTATTGATTGTTATGCAAACGAGCTGGAATTACTGATGTGCCTCCCTTTCTTGCGTGTGTTATGTCGTGCTTGGCTTGTGCGCGCTTTCCCTTTTCGGAGACAACACAATGCCTTGGCTGTGCACCTTTTTGGGAATGACTCTCTTTCTTTCAGTGGCGACCGTTCCCGGGGAGAAGAATGCGAGCGGAGAGGCTGCCTGAGACTCCTTCGCCGTCTGCAGCGATGTCCCCCCAAGAGGATTAAAGGGCACGGCTTGGCTCCCCTCCCCGCCGACCCC